GGCAAAAAGCATGGACTAAAGCCCATGGTTTTGATCACTTTTTGTGCTTTTTCACACCTTTTAAAAAAATATGCAAAATAAATGAATGAAATAAAATAGGTCAATTTGGTCCATTTTCAGGCAAAAAGCATGGACTATAGCACATAGCCTATATGCATATTGAATGAAGTCTCCCTTAGAGTAAAAGAAATATACAAAACATGTCGTGAAATGTAGTGGAACCTTTGTTATTTTCAAGTATTAACCCTATCCCTGAATATACATTCCTCCTAAACTATGAATACCTGATACTATAACTTTATAACTTAATTTTTATCCACCAATTTATATATCAATTTGTAGCTTTTTTCAATTGATCAGGAAACGTGAACACGTGACCTGGAAAGCTAGAAGGGGTGGTTACATTTTAAGATGTCATTGTCTGCTGGAAAAGAGATCGTCAAAGCTTGACAAAAACATACATCACCCACTCGTAGATTACGTCAAAGTGCCGTGACCTCCTATTGTTGGTGTAATTCAAAGTACGGGATACCTTTGCTGGTGAGAGACTAGGGCGAGTCTCTATTCTTATCGTGGCCAAGGTTTTAGTATTCGTGAATTAAAAATGGCCCCTTTCCCTTTGGATATCATGTTTCCCATTTCAAGTCTCAAAATATTTTGTTTGAATTTCATTCATATTAATGTATTTTTCTTAACCGTTAAGGAAAAACAAATGAAATATAGAAGAGATAACTAGCTAAAACTAGTGTGAGCTGCGTCGGTGTTTCTAATGAAGCAGTAATGATAAAAGGATAAATTATACACCGTGAAAAGATGAAACGTCAGTAGGTTTTTTCATCTTTTCACGTTGTATAATTTACCCTTTTATCATTACTGTTTTATATTCAAGAGAATGAAACTTGTTCTGAAATGGGAAAAAATTACATATAAATTATCCCTATGAATGTATATCTATTGAAAAGACGAAGGTCTCTTCCTTTATCCTTAAGCACTCCTAGCCTGCTCTATATAAACTATAAACCTATTATTGAATATTATACAAATTAACAATGACATCACCAAATACGTCCTTGCTTTAACACGTTTTCTTACAGCTGTCCTTTTAACTGTCCGTCTGTCTGTCCTAGAAGATCTTCTTGTTTTATGAACATCAATCTCTTCGTGGTTCAGTTATCTTTTGACTTCTACAAGAGATATTATTTAGCTCTGCTTAGCGACTATTGGTTTGTGTATAAAGTCCAAAGCTAGGCAGCTATCCTCAAGGTGATTATGTCTGTCTTTCTTTCGGATATTTTGTGGGTTTGACTACAAGACATTTTACACTTGTTTCTTCCTTCTTTTCTTGGCTTCTGCTTGAGCATATTGAGGTATTGTTTCTGGAAAAAAAAAAAAGATGTATGAAATAAAGACGTACGAGTTGGAATATTCGACTGGCAGACAGTCAGGCAAATAGGAAGAATATAAAAAAGAGGGACAAACATACGGTAACCTAACAAGAAAGAAAAACAGACAGACCGACAGAATACAGACAGATAGACAGACAGACAGACAGACAGAATGCAGACAGACAGACAGACAGAATACAGAGACAGATAGTTTAACGAGACAATTACACAGTCGATTAAATAAACACCTTGCTACCTGACATTTCGGTCACACACACACACAGACAGTCAGACACTAGACATACAGACAGACAAATATAGACATATGTGACTATACTCACCATTACAAGCATATTTCATGTCCTCCCATACCACTTCGGCTTGTGAGAAGACATACATTCCAATTCGTCCACCTGTGAGTGTATCATCCCAGATATTACCAGTGTCTACGAGCATACCTTTTTCTGTATCCACGCGTAGTCTAATAACAGAAAGAATTGGTTAATTTTGAAACATAGCGATGAATAAACTGATTATTATGAAAGAACGACAATAATATATACAGCAACATTAATCTGTTCAGGCAACCACACACATTATTATACCACTACCACAAACACCATCATATATTAATATTTGATTACCATATATTAATATTACCATCATTATCATCTACGTCATTATCACAAATCAGTATCACCACTTTCTTCATCATCATCGTTAACAAAGTTATTCATTAATATCGTCAACACTATCATTATCAATACCACCACCAACAATAACAAAATGTGACAACCTTTACAAAACATGATATCACTACTACAAACACCATCATACATTATCACCATCGTTACCAACACCACCATGATAGTCATCATCATCACAATTATCCTCCTCATCGTCATCATCTCCACCACCACCCTCCTCATCATAAAATCATGAAATGCTACATCTTAAAAGAACCCCCCAACCCCCCCCCTGTCTAATGATACAGTATACTAACCTTATCAGACCAACTGCAGGTCGAACAGTTAACTGCCAGAAATACTTTGTCTTGTCTTTCCATCCTTGATTAGCTGGGTCTTTCCACAACATTTTTACCTTAAAAAAACACAAAAAATTTTCCAATATTACATTATTGTTCTTTGGAAGGTTAATGGGCCAAATCCACATGGTCGTAATGTTTGGCCCATTTCAGACCACATGTCATTCTCTAGAGAATAAGATTCTTTGTTTGAGTTGTATCCATATTCATGTGTCTTCTCATGCGCAACCGTTAAACAAAGAAATAAGACTGTAGGGAATGACACGTGGTGTGAAATGGGAAAACAGAGGATAAGGAATACTGTTTGCAAAGCCGTTTACTTTCGTGTTACATACATTACATTTAGCCTATTTCCTAGGCTTTATATCTATTTCATGTGGTATTATATTTAGATTGCTAACTGTGTAGTTTACGTTAATACAGTTAGCTCGTGCAAAGTACATAGAACGAATTTAAATCTTTATATTAATACTCCAGTGTTATTATATTCTGTTATTCAACCAAAACTCGTGGCATTTTAATCAACTCGTATTGTTCCGTAGTGCTTTATAATTGAAAAGAATACATTTGTACACAATCGAGGCTAAGAGTGCGCAGAGACGAACTCGAATTGGGAATATTTGGGGGGAAAAATGCATTGTCATTATCATTGAAGGGGGTATCATTGTCATTGAGGGGGGTAACATTGTCATTGAAGGGGGTAACATTGTCATTGAAGGGGGTATCATTGTCATTGAAGGGGGTATCATTGTCATTGAAGGGGGTATCATTGTCATTGAAGGGGATAACATTGTCATTGAGGGGGTATCATTGTCATTGAAGGGGGTATCATTGTCATTGAAGAATCATAAAAATAAGTACGCTCGATACTAACAGCACACGACAAGGAATAACACGGAAGTCAAGCGTGAATACTCAACAAGCAGCCGTGAGCGAAAGTAGTTATGAGCGTATTTATTTTTATTTGACTGCCTTAAAACCCTTCAATGCATATGAAATTAAAGGAAAATATTTGTAAAAGATACATCTTTTAGTGACTTCATTTAGAAAAAAATCGTTCGACGATTTTTCGAATGCCGCTTTCAAAGATATTTTCTATCGCTTTTGACAACAAATGGGGTCGTTTAGCTTCATATCAAAAAATCCATAACGTTAGAAAGAAAGTCACAATTTGATTCATACTCAATAAGGACAGTGTCTATATCCGTACCTATATTCTAGCTACTAAAAATATTGAATCCACTACATTAAAGTCCCGATTTTGAGGGTATAAAGTTGACACGCTGGAAATAATAGTAAAAGTCAATGAAAATATTCACCGCGTAATATTTGGAAAACGCTCTCATACATTTTTTTCATATTGCAATATGTTGGGTGCCTTGATGAGTGCTATCGACTGGTGCAAGTCGCTTTGAAAGTTTAGGTCTAGTTTTCGAGAAAATAAGCGGTAAACGATTTCTATGATGTTATCATTACGCCATAATGAAAAGGCCGCTTTAAACTAATTTATCATTTTTGAAACCTTTAATCCTTTCCTGACATTGTGTGAAAAGCGCTTGCAGATCGAGTTATTCAAGACGAAGTTGTAGCCGTTTCAATGCGGCTAGGTGTGCCAGACCAAAACTACCCAGAGCCTCCTTAAGTCTAGTGATTGTCTAAAAAAATAATAAAAAAATAAAACTGGGTGGGTACCAGGGGTATAAACAAAGGCATTTCAGATTACCTCATTTCTCACATCTCCAGTGTGCCACATAGCATTTCTCATGATTGGACCTGGGCCAGTAATTGATTTGATGGCCTGAAATAATGAATAAGAAAGTTAATAAAGCAAATAAAAGAAAATATGGAATAACAACGATTGTCCGACCCACTAGATGACCGCCAACCGATCAACTAATTTTGACCGATCGAATGACTAAATTTACCGACCAACCGACCAACTGACTGATTGGCTGTGCCGTCATATGATCCAATTGACTGACTGACTGACTGACTGACTGACTGACTGACTGACTGACTGACTGACAGACGGATAGACTGACTGACTCACTGCACCTACCTTAATCTGGATCCCCTTGATAGCAGTGGCCCTGAATGGTCTCATTTTCCAGAACACTTGATCGTTTTGTTTCCAAACCATTGCATAGAAATGCTTGTTGTCAAGGTAACTGAATACTATTCCAATGTAATCATCATCATGGGTTGTGTCCACGAAGAGAGTGCCGTTGAAGTCAACACCGTTAAATCGCGCTTCACCTGTAATTTGTAAAAAATTGAACGTTAGAGAGAATGGACTACTTTGACGGTACGGCGGCCCTCTTGGATCACAAGGCATTATGGGACCTCCAGGGGACAAATATAGCTTTGTTACAGTAATGGCGTTAATTGATATTAACAGCTCACCACAAGCGAATACAACAAAAAATGAATTAATACGCCACAGACACGAGTCAAAAACGTCTGCGCATGCTCTGAATCCGTATATAAATTAGTCAAAACATATGTAAATTTGACTTACCTTTTTTTACCTACTTAAAACACACCTAAGTAATAAGCCTGAAGCGAGATGACGTTTTACCCCCGACTCTATATAATATAGTTTTTAAAATTCTTTCATATTAAAATTTTTGATTCCTTGGAGAATACAGGAACAATAGTCATAATTAAAGAACAAAAGCAGTGTGAAAAGGATTATGGTCTAGAGACGGGGGTAAAACGTCATCTCGCTTCAGGCTTATTGGACTTCACCAAATGCCAAAACTTAGTGTCCATGCTTGAAACTTAAGGCTAATTCTTTCATATTGTGTTTGTTAATACAGTATCTTGGTCTGACAAAAGTATA